TAGGCTTCGTCCATCTTCTTATATTGGAATGACTACCACAAAACTGACACGCCGTTTAACCTGCCATTTGAACATCGGAGCTCCAAATCAACACTACCATGACTGCCACAACCAGCAATTATCCCGCAAAAAATTAGAAGATAATAATAAAATATTAATGAAAGACACTAATTTTAACAGACTACAAATTTTAGAATCCCTATTTATTAATATTTATAAACCTAATTTGAACAAACAAATTTATTCCAATTTTATTTTACCTTCATCACGAAATGTTTAATTTATTATTATTATTATTATTAACATAATATTGCACATATAATATATTTTATTATGTTATATTACAAAATAATTGTTTATTATACTTAATTTAACTACTTACGTTATTTAACTTTAATCGTTACGTTACTTTCGCGCTCAACTCTTATTACGTCATCTCACAGTTTATTGTTATGTTTTATTTGAATTAATATTAAATTGCCTGAAGATGAATTATAAAATTCGAAACGTCGCTTAATAAATAATTATATAATGAATATTGGTGTTCTTATTTTTAATTTAAATTATAATTATAAAAAACTAATAAGAAAAATAGAAAATCTTAATAAAAAATTAAATAACAATAATATAAGCATCGCGTTTAATGAAATATATATATATATATATATATATATATATATATTGTTACAAAAACAGTTGTTAGGATTGTAAACGGTAGTGTAAAAATTATCAACAAAAATGATAAATTTAAACTTAGGATTTATTACAATAAAACCTCATCCCTTACTTAGTTACAAACTCAACAATGTGGAAAATGCGGTGATAGTTCCTTCTAACTGTATATACCTGCTTGAGCACACACAAACACACACACTAAATCACACACACACATATGTATATATATATCTATATATATATATATATATATGCAGTAATTTTTGAAATCTATCGAATTTCTAGCGTTGGATAGGTTTTTATTTACATTTTTCATTATTTTTAACCAATTTCTTGTGTCATTATTTATTTTATAATGTTAGAATAATATACCATTTTCCAATTCATTCTCGAGTGTATAGGACCTATTTTGATTTTTCAATCATCTTCAGCACTTGTTGCAGTTTATATATGGAATTTGTAAACTCCAGCCTTTGTTAAACTGCAACAAATACGGGGTTATATAAATTCTTTACCCAAATTGAGGTGTCATGACCAATAGGTAAAACAACATCCGTTGTTACAAGGTTTAAAAATCCATTCAGTCGCAAGAGGTATTATTTGTAAACGATTACTCGCTATAGGCTAGACGTACGTTTCGTCCATCACGAAACGCGTCAGTAGCCTGTCCAATAAAGTTTAAGATAACAAAACTCAATTATTGTAACCAAGAAACGCAAATTGAGATATCGCGATATATATGTATGTATATATATATATATATATATATATATATATATATATAATCAGATGAAGTCTACGTCGACAACTCATTCCAGAATATCTTGTTCGGAAATCAACAATTGATGCAATTTACATCCTTTGGCAACAACAAGAAAAGTACCTCGCAAAGCATCAACAACTATCACACATTTTTGTAGACCTTGAAAAAGCATTTGATCGAGTTCCCCGTGAAGCAATCAGGTGGAGGTGGAGTCTACGTCGACAACTATTTCCAGAATATCTTGTTCGACTTGTGAAGGAAATGTATACGAATACTAAGACTCTCGTCAGCACAACGGTTGGAAATACAGATGCATTTGACATCGGCGTTGGAGTTCACCAAGGCTCGATTCTCAGTCCACTGTTATTTATAACTTTGATGGAAGAAATCACAAAGCATTATTTGGGGTCTCGTGGCCGAGTGGTTAGCGTGTCCGTCTACCACTCCCACGACCGGGTTCAAACTCTGCAGTTTCTGCAGGTTCATCCGGGTAGCCGACCCCCGGTCAACCCAGCCGTCCATCCTTTCGAGGTTGGTAAATGAGTAGACAACGTAAGTTGTCGCATGCTGGCCGGCGAGATGGCTCAGTGGTTCAAATGCTCGCTGAGTTAAACATCTCAATGGCTATCATATACTCAGCGTATATGATGCGGTGCTTGCGCGTGCACATAAATACATGTGTACGCCGTGTGAAAAGGATAAACAGCCTTTGTGGCGAAGATGACAGCTTCATTTCGGAATTAAAGACCACGGAAGATTTCGGATTGAAGCTTTGTGAAGAGTGTCTTCAATGCAGCAAAGATAAACTGCACCAGCTTATTATAAAGGAAAAACCAGGAAATCTAGATTCAAATTTAGCAACAAATGCTGAGTTGTCAACCCAGACTCAAGTTATAATCTCTAAACTGAAGTCCTTGGATGATGCCATTGGCCTACAAAATAGTAATTTCAATGAATTTAAGATGAAGATGGATAATTTTTCATACTCTTCCATGAAGATTCTGGAGGAGAATGAAAAAGTTGCCAAGACAAGAGTTGAACAGAGTGAGCAGGAATAAAAAAAATATTCAGATGCGGTTAAAGGAAAAGTTGATAAGTTGTCATTAGATGTCAAACAGGTACAAAAAACAATTGTTGATACCTCATCTAAAATTGAATTTCTAAATGACAGAGAAAAGAGGAGAAATAATGTGATCCTATATAATTTGCAAGAAAAAGGGGTTAACCCGAAAGAGGTTGTTAAAAATTTATTGAAAGAAATATCAGAGATTGATTTAGAAACAGAGGGAATTGAAATTTCTAGACTGGGCAAAAAAATGGAAGATGATAAAAAATCTAGACCAGTTTCGATTCAGTTTGCAAACATAAATACCAAAAATTTGCTGCTTGCAAATTGTTACAAACTCAAAAAATCAGCAATTTTTAACAATGTAATCGTCAATCATGATCTTTCCAAGGAAGAAAGAAGTAACAACAGAAAACTTTTGGAAGAAAAAAGGAAAGAAATAAGTGCCAAAGAGGACATAACAAAATGGTCATTCAGGCTCAAAGGAAAACCAGGTGATTTTTATGTGGTTGCTGTTAGAAAGCAAAATTTAGAGATACAAAAAATTTAAGACAGACAAATTTGAAACATATAAGAATTATGATGTCCAATGTAGATACTTTGTCTAATAAGTTTGAAGATTTACAATCCTTGTTGGGAAGTTTAAAATGCCTTAATGGAGGTGAATCCCAAAATTTTAAAAATAATAGAGTTTTGTCTGAATACAATTTGCAGGGGTACTCAAGTTTGGCATCTGGGTTTTCTGATGTTGTTAGGAGGGGACTTTTGCTGTTTTTCAAAAAGTCTTTGTTGGTTTCAGAAGTTGGTATGGTCTCGGAATTCAAAAAATATATGACAGTGAAGGTTTGCATTTTTGGTAGATTTTTAAATATTCTGTTTGTATACAGAAGCCCCACATACAGTGTTGAAAATAACATTTACCTATTAACACTGATTAATGATGGTCTAGCATTGCCAGGTGATTTTTTAATGTTTGGGGATTTCAATTTACCTGAAATAGACTGGGATACGTACAGTTGCAGTGGAGGTGAAGAGAAATTTGAAAACAAATTTTTAGATATCCTTGAAAATAAATTTTTGTTACAACACATTAACCAGCCAACAAGATTTAGATTTGGTCAGTCTGCAAATATATTGGATTTAGTGATTTCATCACAAGATTTTGTTAAAAACGTGAAATTTTATTCACCTCTTGGAAGCAGTGATCACGCTGTGGTTGAATTTATGATTGCTGGTTTTGAACGTTTAACAGATATGAACTTGAAAAAGTTTTGCTTCGATCTAGGTGATTACAATGGTTTGAAGTCGGCTCTGTTACCATCAGTGATTGATGTGTTTACAGAGGATAGAAATGTCGAGGATGACTGGAAGATTTTTAAAGATAAACTGAGTTGTGGTACAAATGAATTTGTTCCAAAGAAAAGAAGAAACGTTGATTTCAAATTTAAAATGACCAATGATTTAAAAGTTTTGATATAGCAAAAGCATGTAATTTGGAGGTTGATTTATAGATATAGAGAAGATAAAATTCAAGAATTCCGAACAATCAGAGACAAAATTAAAAAACATACAAAGTTGATGAAATTGCAGTCGCAAGAAAAAATTGCCCGTGCATATAAAACCAATCCTAAACTGTTTTGGAATCACGTGAAAAAAGTAACCAGATGTGATGAGGTTGCTAGTCCATTGACTGAGGATGGAAGGGTGATAACTGATTCTAAGATGAAAGCTGATGTATTTGCTAACTTCTTCTACTCTGTGTACAGAGGGGATACTTCTTTTGATGATAATGATACTTTTTTTTTATTTTGACTCCACTGATGTATTTATTTTCCCCAATGGCTGATTTGCTTATTGACGAAAGCATGGTATTATCAAAACTTGAAAAGCTAAGTACAAGCAAATCAGCAGGTCCGGATGATATACACCCACGAGTTCTATGGGAATTAAGGAAGTCAATCTGCTCCCATTTAAGTAGACTATTCCATTGTTCAGTTGATGAAGGCATTGTGCTGCAGGATTGGAAGCTTAGTCATGTCGTTCCTCTTCATAAAAAAGGCCGTAAGGATCTGGCTCAAAATTATCGTCCGATCGCATTAACTTCAATTTGTTGCAAGATTCTGGAATCTATGATAAAAGATCACATTATGAATTATTTCATGGAAAATGATTTATTTTCCAATGGCCAGTTTAGATTTATACCAGGTCGTTCAGCAGTCTTGCAACTTTTGAGGTTTTTGGAGATCATTACTGAGGGATTGGATCATGGTTATGAGGTTGATGCGGTTTATATGGATCTTGAAAAAGCGTTTGACAAGGTTTCACACAGCCGGTTACTATTCAAGCTCAAACAGTACGGTATTAACAACAAGCTACTAAATTGGATTCAGAACTATATCAGTGGTAGGTCGTTTCAAGTAAAGCTTGATGGTACTTTATCGGATCACAGACCGGTTTTAAGTGGAGTTCCCCAAGGTGGGGTTCTGAGTCCGCTATTGTTTCTAGTTTATATAAACAATTTATCCTCTGTTTGTGACAATGTTTTGCTATTTGCAGACGACTCAAAAATTTTCAAGGTAATAAAAAGTGACGAAGATAAAATCATCTTTTCTCAGGATATTATAAAAATGGTTGATTGGATTAGTAAATGGAAGTTAAATATAAATGTCAATAAATGCCAAATGTTAAGGTTTGGTTGCAACAATTCAGGTACACCATTCACTATTGTAGACTGCAACGGACTGCCCTTTCGTTTGCCAGAGGTTGATGAGATATCAGACCTCGGAGTGATCTTTGATGCCAAGCTTAAGTTCAAAAGCCAAATCTTGAAAATTGTTCATAAAGCTAACTCCATGTTGGGGATTGTTGGTAGAAACTTCAAGAATTTATCAGAAGGAGCTTTTGTCTTGTCGTATAAGTCGTTGGTGAGGTCTCAGTTGGAATATGGTGTTCAAGCATGGAAACCTTACAAAATTGGTTTAATTTTAGAAATTGAAAAAATCCAAAAAAGAGCAACACGTTTGGTTAATTCCTGTAGGTTTCTTCCTTATATTGACAGATTAAAGAAACTTAAGCTGCCTTCACTCGCGTACCATCGTCGCAGAGCGGATCTCATTTTGCTGTTCAGAATGTTACATGGTGAGGTTTCTGTCAAGGCTAGTCCAACGCTACTATTTTCGTCCGACGATCGTACGAGAAGACACAACTGGAAACTGACTACAGGACCATGTCATAAAGATTGTCGTAAATTTTCCTTCTCATACCGTGTGGTAGATGACTGGAACAGGCATCCTTTTGGATTCATTTTTTGGTGACTCCATATTTGATTGGCGTTTGAATTCATAATTGTTCCTTTTACACTATATACATTCAATAGTTATCATCTTTTACACTTTAATTAATTATGTGTGTTTTATTTTGTTGTGTTGACTTGTGTATTATTATTTATATATATAGATAAGTTTATTATGTACATTACCTATTTTATTTATTTATGGTTTATATTTTCGAATTTCTATATTTTTGTTTGGCAAGGGGTTCTGCCCGTGCTGTTTTGAATAATAATAATAATAGTAAAAATAATATCAATGGATGAAGATATGAAGAACATAATAAAAGATATATAGATAATATATATCTGTAATATTGTAAGTGGTTCTGCGTATGTCAGAGCTGCAATAATAAAGACCAATGAAAAAAAAAGCCGATACACACTGGTAACATTTGGAATCTGATATATGCTGATGATATTGTTTTAATTGCCACGTCTGAGCCGAATGCAGCACAGATGTTTGAAGATTGGAACACCAGACTAGCCGATCATGGATTCAAAGTCAACATCAGCAAAACCAAAGCAATGAACACTGGTGTAACCATTCAATCAACAGCTACTGGACGATGGCCCTGTTGAGTTTGTAAAGCTGGTGTAGGTAACAATTCAATCAAGTGTCAGCAGTGTAACCAGTGGTGTCACAAACGTTGTTCAAAAATAATTGGTAATTTATCTAAAGTGTCCAATTTTGTTTGTCCCGCTTGCATCAATCCACAACAATTTTTTTGAAATAGCAATGATTTTGAAGCCATTAAGGTATCGTCGTATCGTCGCCACATCGTTTCAATATCTAGGAGATGTTCTGGATTGTATTGGAACAGCTGAAGCTGCCGTTCTAGCACGCATACGTGCAGCCTGAAATAAATGGCATCTCCTTGCCTTTATATTGATGCGGCGTGACATCACACTACCACTACGATCAAGATTTTATAAATCTTTGATACGTAGGATGTTGTTATATGGTGCAGAAACATGGCCAATGACAACCAAACTGGAACAACAAATTCACCGAACCGATATGAAAATGCTCCGATGGATGCAACGAATTAGTCTGAAGAACAACATCAAATCTACCAAAATTCTGCGTCGTGCTGGTTTAGATGATATAAAAGACGAATGCCGGCAACACCGTCTGCGGTGGTTTGGTCATGTCATAACATCTCTTGCAGATTTTGCAGTACCTGTCACACGTCCCAAAGGCCGTCCAAAGAAGTCCTGGTCGCAAACAATCGAGCAGGATATGAAAGCTCTAAATTTAAATGAAATGGATACAACTGATCGCCTAATTTGGCGCAAAAAATTAATGGCAAAGAAAACAACGTCCTACCTCGGGAGAACTGGGTCTCTGGACACTTAACAATGATTGATTGATATATATATACATATAATGTTTTAAAAATTAAATTACTCATGTTTTCATTATCTTCCATGTTTATTATATAAGGGACATAAAATTGTAGCAATGACATTAACAACAGTTTTGAAGACAACTACAACACACTTTCGCGGTGAAACTAACTAATTCCAACTGAAAACCATTTACGTTATTTAACATTTTAAATATTAAAACCTGGGTATTAAAAAATAGAAAAATTCAACTTATCAACAATATACAAGTAAGAAAATACATTTCATGTAAAATGTCCCGGCTTCAAATGTTTTATGTACAATGCATAGATCAATATTAGCACGGCAGAACGATGTTTGTTTTAGTGTTGTGTCATCTACCACTTGGCCATCAACTTTTCTTTTATATTTAGTGCATTCACCAGCACAAAGTTCAGAAAATTGAATTAAAATGGCTGCTATTGCCAATTAATCAATTTAAAAGAGTTACAGAAGAATAATAACATTTATCAGCAATTGAGTTGATTATTCAAATGTTAAAATTATATAAATATTTGCTCAAATTGTTTACTGAAATCTAAAACCAAATAAAACGCTTATTATATAGAAGTTTTAAGAACATGTTAAACGTTAATTCAGTAATTAATTTTTTTAGTTGTAAATTTTTCTATTTTATTAAATATTTTGTCTGGCATTCACTTCCAATTTTTCAATTTGCGAAACTTCATTAAAACAAAGATTGATGCTATTCAAAAATTTTCATAAAAATTTCAACTAGTTGGCACAAATACACATACAAAAAAACGCACACAAATAAATAAATAAACATATATATATATATATATATTTATATATATATATATATATATATAGATATATATAACATTTTTGTGGAAACCTAAAATCTCTAATAAACGTAAAACGTATGGACAAAATTGAAGTTTGATTTATTTCAAAATTATATTTCCAACGTCATGTCTGCTTTCATTAGCAGATGGCTTAGATTGAGATTTACGAATAAAATGTGTTAATAACTCGATTGGCAGAGGAAATATGATAGTGGAATTCTTCTCAGCAGATATGGTGTTCAACGTTTGAAGGTATCTGAGTTGAAGTGCTGTGGAAGATTTATTGATAACATCAGATGCCTCCTTCAGTGAGTGAGCTGCTTGGTTCTCACCTTCCGCTGCGATTACCTGAACGAATTTTGATGATAACATAATAATAATAATGAAATTAATTTAATGAATTCATGGAATAAGTTACATACCTTTGTGTAGTTTAATAATAATAGGTATTTAATTAATAAATAATTAATAATAAAAAAATTAAATGATTAAAAGTATTAAATTATTAACTTACTAACAATTAAAGCACATTTAATCTGTTTAAATATTTTCACATTATTTGTCGCATAATTGAATTAATAAATAATGTTGCACTATGGACGTTAAGCAAAAACGTTTGTGAAAAACGGTTTGCTAGGTAAATGTGGCAATAGCAAAATGTCTTCCCAGCAATAAGCAATTTACTTTTCGCTAGATCACTGTTTAAGAAACCGTTGTTTTTATTATTGTTGTTATTTTGATTATTAATATTATTATAAAATTGGATTATTATAAAATTGAATTATTAAAAATATATATCGATGTTGGTGCGATTATTTTTTAAAACATTTATTTGTCAAACTATCGTGCCAAACAGAATATAAAAACAAAAATAAAAAATACGACGAATGGAATGGAAGTACAAACAAATGGCAATAACTTCTGCTTATAATGTGATAAATAACATTTGAAGTATGTTGTTAGCTGGATGTATTTTTTATACTTTGCAGTTTTGAAGAAATTTGAAATACGTTCTTAATGAAAATTTATGTGAAGTAAATTATTAAATTAAGTCCTTTATTTAAAGATTCAACAAAATTACCAAAAAAAACTTACCTATATCTCAGAAAATTTTTCTGATCGTGCGTATCTGAGGTTATATCTCAAATTGAAATAATTATAAAAAAATATTAATTATCTCGTTACAAATAAAATAATTTCCTGTTATCCAGGTAGCCAGCGGGTTAGCAGATTTTTTTCAATTTTAAACTTTTTTTCAGAAAAAAGATTGGCTGTTTACATGCGGCAAAAAACGTAGTTCATAACAATATAACAATCAAAATCAATCAATCACCACAATCAAAAACAGCATACATTGTTAACAAACATACATACATTTATTTAAACAAATTGTGATATGGCAGAGCAAAGTGTAGGTGTTAGGCAAGGCTGTGTTTTTTCTCCAGACCTGTACAGTACATTCTCTATAGTGAGATCATCATTAGAAAAATAGAAGATCTACCTGAAATATCCATTGGAGGCGTGAAAATTAACAATGTAAGATATACTGATGATACAGCTCTTATAGCAGATTCATTAGAAAAACTGCAAACAATTGTTTCCAAACTGGTTTTTGAAAGTGAAAAGAGAGGCTTGCTAATTAACATCAACAAAACAGAGTGCTTGGTTATCAGTAAAAGTAAAACCACCCCGATCAGCTTCAAAATCATTAATGGAAAAATGATTAACGATGCTGAGATGTAGTTTTTGAGAAGAATTCTGAAAATTACTTGTACTTCAAATACTTCGAACGAGGATGTATTAAAACAGTCCAGTATGAAAAGAGGAAATAACTACAGATAATTAGTCCGACGGGGGAGTCAAAGTTTTTTAGTCACATCATGTGCAAGAAAAGAATGAAAAATCTAACAACTGCTGGAAAGATTGCAAGGGAAAGAAATCGCGGTCAAAAACGAATAACATTTGTGAAGTCCTTGCGTCAATTGTTGAATATCACCCCATTTCAACTCTTATAACGAGTTAAAGATCTGGTTTCGTGTAGGTCGATGGTCGTTAATGGCGTGAAAGGATAAGGCACGAGAAAAAAGAAGAACTGTAAAACAAAAATTTATAGTTAAAATCGAATTAAACTAGTAAAAAATTAAAATGAAATTTTAAACAATTTAAAGTTAAATGTTAAAATGAATCAATGTAAAATATCACTGAAAAGTGGAGTTAAATATATAAATAAACGAAATTTAAAAATATTAATTTAATGTAGAAAATAATATCAATCAATAAATCAATCAATCTTCGTTTAGCGTCCAAAGACCCAGTTTCCCGAGGTAGTACGTCGTTTTCTTTGCCATCATCTATTTGCGCCAAATTAGACGATCATTGGTATCCATTTCATTTAAATTTAGAGCATTCATGTCTTGCTCGATTGTTTGCGACCAGGACTTCTTTGGACGGCCTTTGGGACGTGTGCCAGGTACTTCAACATCTGCAAGAGAAGTTATGGCACTGTTTCCACTTCGTTTGACATAACCAAACCACCGCAGACGGTGTTGCCGGCATTCGTCCTTTATATCATCTAAACCAGCACGAATTTTGGTAGATTTGATGTGGTCCTTCGGAATAATTCGTTGCATTCATCGGAGCATTTTCATGTCGGTTCGTTGAAGTTGTTATTCCAGTTTGGTTGTCATTGGCCATGTTTCTGCACCATATAACAATACCGGACGTATAGATTTATAAAATCTTGATCGTAGTGGTAGTGTGATGTCACGCCGCATCAATATAGAGGCAAAGAGATGTCATTTATTCCAGGCTGCACGTATGCGTGCTCGAACGGCAGCTTCAGCTGTTCCAGTGCAATTTAGAACATCCCCTAGATATTGAACCGATGTGACTCTCTACCTTAATGGCTTCAAAAACATTGCTATTTCGAATTTGTTGTTGTAGATTGATGCAAGCAGGACAAACAAAAATGGACACTTTAGATAAAGTACCAATTATTTTTGAACAACGTTTGTGACACTACTGGTTACACTGCTGACACTTGATTGAATTGTTACCTACACCAGCTTTACAAACTCAACAGGGCCATTGTCCAGTAGCTATGGATTAGATGGGTTCACCAGTGTTCATTGCTTTGGTTTTGCTGATGTTGACTTTGAATCCATGATCGGCGAGTCTTGTGTTCCAATCTTCAAACATCTGTGCTGCATTCTGCTCAGACGTGGCTGTTAAAACAATATCATCAGCATATATTAGATTTCGAATGTCACCAGTTCGTATCGGTTTTGTGATTTCTTCCATCACAGTTATAAATAACAGTGGACTGATAATTGAGCCTTGGTGAACTCCAACGCCGATGTCAAATGCATCTGTGTTTCAAACCGTTGTGTCTTAGTATTCGTATATATTTCCATCACAAGTCGAACAAGATATTCTGGAATGAGTTGTCGACGTAGACTCCACCTGATTGCTTCACGGGAAACTCGATCAAATGCTTTTTTAAATGTCTACAAAAATGTGTGATAGTTGTTGATGCTTTGTGAGGTACTTCTCTTGCAGTTGCCGAAGGATGTGAATTGCATCAATTGTTGATTTCCCCGCTACGAAACCAAATTGATAATTTCCGATTGTGATGCACGACGTAAATCTTCTCTCAATGATTTTCTTGACAATTTTCAGGGAGTGTTCTAACAGACGTATACCCCGATATGATGAACAGTTCAATGGATCACCTTTGTATAGCGGAACTTTCATGCTATAGTTCCATTCAGTCGGCATTGAGCAATTTCTTCACACTTCACGGCAAAATTGTAGTAACGTTTGGATACCTGCAGTACCAGATGCTTTGATAATGTCATTTGTGAGTCCAGAGGGCCCTGCTGTCTTTCCATCCTTCATAACTTTCCAAGCATCAGTAAGCTCCTCTACAGTGATGTCTGGAATCGGACCTTCGATGGGTGGAGCGTCAAAGTTGACATTGATGGGATTTGTTTCATTTAACAGACGGTTGAAGTATTCTCTCCACTGTAGCTTGATCTCATCTTGTTCAAGAACCATCTCATTTTTGTCGGTTTTGGAACATGAGGCACCAACTATGTCCTTTTTCGTACGCTTTACTTATTTTGCTATACGATACAGAAATTTCATTTGTTGACCTTTGCTTTTAGTGAGCCACTCTCTGCATTGATCCGTCCAAGCCAGTGCGACTTGACGTCTTGCATAGTTGTCCTTCCCACGGAAAATTTTATGGTCATCAACAGTCTTTGATTATTGCAATTGCTTGTATGCAGCTTTCTTTTCAGCTATTGCATTTTGTACACTGTCATTCCACCACCAAGTGTCTTGTTCATGCTGACGTTTTGTTCCAGTTTTCCCAAAAACTGTAGTTGCAGCGTTTATCAAAACTGTTTTGTATGTACTCCAATCTGTACTGTCTTGCGATTGGTGGTCTAACTGTGTTGCGACAATCTGTTGAAATTTTTCTCAATGAATATTGCTTTTCAGCTTCCACGTTTTGATTTTCCAAGGCATTTGTTTAGACTTATGTTTTGACAGTTCGACAACCAGGTCTGCCACAAGGAGTCTATGTTGGGCGACACATGAATCGCCAGATATAACTTTGATATTTTTGAATAGCCTTCGGTGTTGTTGCTTGACAGCGAAGAAATCAATTTGCGTGGCTGATGGTCCACTTTCGTATGTTATGAGATGTTCCGACCTCTTTCTAAAATATGTGTTCAGTAAACAAAACCCATGATTTCCGCAAGCTCAAGGATGCGGTTGCCATCTTCATTCCGTTCTTCATAGCCAAAACCGCCATGTACGTTGTCAAAACCATCTGTTTTCTCTCCAACGTGGCCATTGAGATCGCCTCCAATCAGGATTGTTTCAGATTTTGGTATTGTTGAGATGGTGTCAGAGAACGCAGCCCAGAAGTCATTTTTCATCTCTTCTGATTCGCCTGTCTGTGGTGCGTATGCAGAAAAAATAATCATTGTTTGCTTTTCTAGGCGAAGCTTGATTCACATGAGACGTGAATTAATCCTTTTAATATCCAGTACTTCTTGGGCTAGCCGTTCTCTGAAAAAAATTCCAACACCCTTTTTGGCCGTCTTTTGACCATTCCAGAATAGTTTATATTTTTCTTTGTCTGAGTTGACATGACAAACACCATTCGATTTCCATCGGGTCTCCTGAAGGCAGCAGATGTCAATTCTTCTACGCTCGAGCATTTCTGCAATTTCCATGCTGTGGCCAGTCAGTGATCCAACATTGAGCGTTCCAAATCTAAGTACCATAGAGGGGCCAAACTGAATTTTCCTGCAACATCCCTCCGCTATTGCATACTCCCCAGGGATTCTTGGCACCCCTTGATCACTTAAGGCCTGCTGGGGACTAGGGGCCGTTGTTTTACTTTGTGGTGGCATAGGAATAATTTGGGGAAAAGTTTTTACTTCCAGACACCCATTCTGACGACAACCACCAGTTATAAGCAGAGGGCCTAGCCTTTTGCTCAAAAGCACGCAAGACAGCGTGGATGCAGTTTTATGTCATACCCAGGACCAATAGAAAATAACATAGTAGAATAAATTAATAAAATTAACTGAGGAAAGATTGATTAGTTTAAGTTCACGATTTGCTGATAAAAAAATGTTTTTAGCTGTTTTTTAACTATAAATTGGAGCATTTTGGCCGCGTGTGGACAGTCAGGTGGCTATACAGGCCCTTTTTTCTTGAAATAAAGAAATAAATGAAGGTAAATATATAAATAAAACGCAGATAATATTTTTTTCTGCCTTGAATATTAAAATATTAATTTAATTAATAAATTAATTTTAAAAGTTATTCAAAACATTGTTAAGTGTTTTCGAACATAAAATGAAGTAGTTATTTATAATAAAGTTGCTGAATTTCAAAAATTTACTTTTGCTTTTGCTTCTCTTGTTGCTTCTGCTTCGGCGGCCATTGCTCGTTGAAGTTGTATAGGCAATCTGACGTCTTTGCTGTAAAATATCAAGTCATTTTTGGGTCTTGAACTACAATGGCATTTTGTTTTAATAATTTTAAAAACTAAATTACACATTTTATCGTAATAAATTGCAGAATGCTTAAATAGCAACGTAATGCGGACTGCCAGTACTTAAACTTATTAGGACGACTCTTATTAACCCGGACTGAATTAGTGCTTATATGACGCAGCAGTTAAAAATAAAGATAAAACTTTATTTTATTACATCATCTAAGTAAACTAATAAAAAGTAAGTTGAGCTCTTATTTTCGAAGTTTCAAAGCAAAAATTTTTGACAATTTACAAAACTAGATATGATTCAAGGAAGGCGCTGAAATTAAAAACACTTTTAGGTAGGATATATACAAAAAGTGAGATACCAAAAATCATGTGGCTTTTATATTCAAACGGATATGGATAAAAAATTTCAAGCACATTGGTTAAAAAAGAAAGAATAAATTACGATACGATTTGTAAAATGTAGAAAATTTTGGTTTCTTTGATTTTTTAAATACCTTTTTTAAAGGAGTCTCTAAAGTGACAATTTGATATTTTTAAGTGTTCATTATTCAATCTTTCGTTCTACCGAATCAAGTTTAGGTTATAATTGTAATCGTTTTAATTGACTTCAAATTTGCTTTGTTGCATTTTGTGATGAAAAATAGCTAAGTTTATTGCATAGTAAAATAATACAACTAATCAAAAATAAATTTTAGTTATTTAAAAGTAAATTTACATTTCAACTCTTTCAACCATGATGCCCCAATGTTCTGTTGCATCGTCTAGAGTTTCTTGCATTGAGCTTGAAATAGCTTCTCTTTCAGACAGAATTTCTGATAAGTTTTTCGTGCCAAGAACATTTCTATAGTATATAAAAACGCGATGTAACGGTCAAATTTTAAATTAGATACCTTTTGTGTTCAACAAAAAAACATGAAATAGAACCTCAAAGTTGTTTGAGCTAAAAGTCTTGTAGAATGATGAGCGTTTTCCACATTGGCTACACTAACTGTTGCGTTGGAAACTCTGTAATATACAACTGCATCAACGCTTACCGTTACACTGTCTTTCGTCAAAACCTAAACAACATGCATCATAAGATATGTTCTGCTCGAGTCAATAAATAATTAATAATCTTTGAAATTTAAAATATTTTAATGAAAAGGATTTATTAAATTTGCAACGATGTTGTGCAGATAACAAAAAATTGTAGTCATTAATCAAACAGATTCAATCTATTAAAATTAATTCATATCTGTTATCTAACAGGGTTTGCAGTGTTTTCAAATTATAATATCAATAGTGCAATCGAATTGTATGGGTTTTTTATATTATGTATCATATATATCATAGATAATGTTGACGTTTGTAGTGGCAGTGATTTACATTGCCATCATATGTACCTATGACATACAACTTTTGTTTCTAAGCCAAAAAATGTAGCAATAACTAACAATAACTAACAGACTTTATCTCAACATTACTATGAATGAGTAATTGCAGTCTTTTGTAAGTTAAATTGTAGTAAGATTAGCTAATGCAACGTAGTTTTGCCCTTCGTAAATAGGTCTCATATGTTCTAGACGCGGCGGTACCTACTTTGATTTATGCTTAATCAATATTTGATCTTAGATCTAATTGTAAGGACATCGAAAATAAATAGCTGACAGAGTGATATATAAACTATCTAGAAAGATATTGTTTATCTAATGGAAACAGAAGTTTTTTGAGACTTTTAACATTGCTTTTGAAATAAAATTGCTTTAGTTTTATCCAATTACATTTGAAAGGCACTGCTTGTCAATTTAAAAACGTCATAAAAAAACAACATAAAAGTTTAAGAATCAGTACTTAACAGTTCTTCTGAGTCATAGATAGTTTTCAGGTATTAAAAAGTTTATGTGTTTAATGAACAGATTTAAATTATCAAACAATTTGTAATATTGTAATTTTTTTTATTTTCATTATAGAGGACCAAATAAGTTTAAAATAAACTTGTGGAGAGGCCACCCTTAACTAAGTCATTAACAAACATAAAGGTTCAAAGGTTAAAAAATTAAGAAACTCAATTTCAGCGTTCAAATGCATTCAAATACTATATCGAAATTTTATAAAAATGTTAACTCGAATGAAATACATTCAGATAATACTTCTGAACCAGTCAAATAATCATAATAATAACGGACAGACAAAAACACACACGCACCACACATACGCACGCACAACACACACTCACACATCCATTCATATTTAAACAACAGCTATATATTAATGTATATAAATCGTTAGATGGTGGTGTCGGGGTGAAGTAAGTAAAGCTGAGATCGCAACCTTTTTTTGAAGAGTTGCTTGTTTGTTATGTTATGAATGGCATGAGGCACAAATAATTTCCAAATTTTAGGACCAGTTGTTTTTAAACTTGTAGAGATGAGTTTAAGGCGAGTTTTTACTGAGTAAAATATAGTAGTGTGTCTAGTTTTGAGAGTTTGAACAGATTCACTGAGTGTAAAAAAGTTAGAACAAAATGAGGGAAGTAAATTATTTAAGAATTTGATAACAAAAATAGCTGTAAAATAAATGTATAAACAATTAATCGACAAAATATTATGTTTACTAAAAAAAGAGTTAGTGGGAGAGAAAGGGTTCAAGTTGAAGATTAAGCGTATAGCTCTTTTTTGTGACAATATCATACAGTGAAGATGGGTTTTTGGTGAGTTACCCCAAATGGTTATGCAGTACAAAATATATATATATATATATATATATATATATATATTTAGGAACGAGGTTTTCATTAAAACATATTTTGTTAAATTTATTTGCCCATTTTGCATTTATCAACTTTTTTATTATGGACTCAACACAGCGTAGTTTTTGACATTCATATTTATTGTGAAATTGTGACATATTAGAAGCTGACAACGTTGTTTCGGCTAAGTAGCCATCATCAGAGCCTAAAACCAATGAAATATAAGAAATTTAATTAAAATAAATGAGAATTAAACGAATTATGTAAATTATTTAGCGGATATGATAGTTAAGATATTAAAAATAAAATTGGAATAGAAAGTGAAGTTAAAATGGTACCTTGCGAAGGATGAAACCTAAAAGATAAGTTTAATACTAAAACATAAAATTAAATAAAAGTTACTAATTAATAAAAGGTAAAATAAATGAAAATAAAACTGGAAAGTTGGAAGAATAAGAAATAAACAATACGTGTGTGATGAATGTGGTGTAATCACTAGTATAAAATATTATGCAACGCTAAGTATATTCTACACACATATATATATATATAACGGATAAATTATTCCACAAGGAAATACCCGGAATATATATATATATATATATATATATATATATATATATATATATATATATTGCCCCTTTGACGGCTGTGCACGTCAACATGACTCATATATCGGGATTACTACTACCTCACTGACTAGAAGGCTTACGATGCATAAACAGAGTGGTGCTATCAAATCTCATTTGGACTCAACACACTCAATCACAATTAGCCGTGAAATCCTCGACAGCAACACCAAAGTAATATACCAGAACAGCAACTACACGCATCTTAAAATTGCAGAAGCAGTCCTAATCAACATCAATAAACCAAAAATAAATATACAACAAAAAATGACAACCTCACTTCCAACCCGGTGCTTAACCAACAACGAAAACAAAGAAGTAATAAAAACTAGCATCGTAAATAGTGACAAAGAAGAATATGATGCTATCGATGAAGAAAAGAAGACCAAAGAAGATGACCAGCCAATTAAGAAACCTGACACCTAATTCGCATCAAAGTTCAATTTTACAACACCAAAGTTAATTTTTACAACGTCAAAGTTAATCTTGACAAAGCCAATATTTCTCTATATATACAACAAGGAGCACTGACGATGATTCATTCGGAATCGAAATATGGCCTTATTTGCAGCATGAATTCGAAAAATAAGTTTATTTTGAATTTTAATAAACTAAACGTTCACCAAAAAACTTTAGTGAGAAAAATCGAAAAAACGAACTACAAACATATTAACGCCAAACATTCGGTACAATTTATAGAAAATTGTAAAAATTATGGTCTATTACCAATATATATATATATATATATATATATATATATATATATATATATATATATATATATATGCTCTTGACTTGCATTTGCGAATGATTGATGAAATTTCTTTGTATGTTGTGGGGTCAACATAGCATGGAAATGATGGATCCGGCAGATCGTGGATCCAATTTGGCAGACGGAACTTTTTGGTGTGCTGATTATTTAAAATATTCTTGAAGAATTTTTTACATTTTGTAACGTTGAACAAAAGTAGCGAACTATTTGATTGGTTAAACAGCTTTTTACAAATAGGCCAAAATTTTTGTTGCAATTGATTGGTAATAACTGAGTTCTTCCTATATTTTTACGCTTTCAACGCCAATAGCTTTGATCTTATTTTTTTACTAAGCGCTTTGATTTGCAAGTCATAGTTGTGATTGTTTTGGCCCAGGACTTTGAGTTGTTTCAGCTCCTTCTTTAATTTGTTGATTGGCTTGTTCAGGTCAACAGAGGAAATAGTTTTTGTTTCCAATGCCATAGTTTGAAGCAAAGTAGTCGTATAATAGTGATCGAAGACTGTTGGTAAAGTTGTCGATGTTGTTGACATTGGGTAGATTTGCCCTCTGCGAATGGAAGTACGCGTTTGCCTCCGCCCATTGTTTCGCAGTTTTGGGCAGTTTTAAACCAGGAAGTGGTGTATCTACCTTGTCAGTATTTGGTGTTATTGAGAGTGGGACAAGTGACTGCCGCTGTGGAGAATGTAACTCCGAGTTAGAACCATCATCTGGGTCGTTTGTTGTACTATCCGAATTTGAAATTTTTTTAAATATTTTGCACGCACGTTGGTGCATCCGTAGACCCTTTTTGCCTTTACAGCTTCTACCATAACAACAAACATTTGAGTTATTGTCGATATTAATTGGATTATTATTATTATTTGTGTTATTAACTAAAATATTTGAAGATATATTAATATTATCCTTTGGAGATAAACGTGTGCAAATGTTATCGTTGACTAACGTAGCTTTTATTAACATTTATAAAGTCTTTAAAACAATATGAACATTTACTTGCGTTAACTGTTAATATAAAGTTTAAAATCAAAAATAAAATAATTAAATATTTAAAATTAAAACTATTTAAGAAATTATAGGCCATAATTTAACGCCACTTTAGAACCAACTTTCAAACTATTAAACTTTATAAAAACAGATTAAAATATACAAAAACAGTGAGTAAACAGAAATCTGCCAACTCTCATGTTTCAACATACAATAATTATAATAATAATAATAATAGTAATGGTAATAGTAGTAAGTTGGAGGATCCAGATTATCGGCATATGATGGATCGGAGAAAGGAGGAATCCAGATAGGAAGAAAACGAAATAATGTGCGATCACTAGATTTTAAAAAAACTGTAGGGATCAAACATTCATTTATTAACTATCACATATATTAATTATTAAAAATCATTGCAATTTTCAATGTTACCTAATCTATGCTAATTTTTATGTCTTTGCTTCTCTCTCGATTTCTTTCCTTTTTTTCCTGAGAGCTTGTAAACGAAACGATTGGAGATTCACTTGGGAATAAAGATAATATTTCATTACGCCTGAATTGTGTTTGTTTTATTTATTTAAACTCACAACAAGGTTGTCTTGTTAGTAGCATATGTTCGTACCAAAAATTGGTGACCCCGAAGTGATCTGAACGAAAATCCCACGTGATTTTGAACGAAAATCCGACGTAAAAAGAAATACGAAGATCCACGTGGTAAGATCAAAAAGAAAACAATGTTCCAACCAAATGATGACCCGATCGCCATATTACCTCTTTTCAAGAAAACAGCGTCAACAGATTGGTTCGAGAATTCCGAAATGCAATTTCAGTTGCGAAACGTGATGTGTAAAACAACAAGATTCTATCACGTAATAATTTCCCTGCCGTTGGATATAGTCTCAAATTTGTCGTTAAAAGTGCAAAGAGGAACAGATTACGACGC